TTTGGAGTTGAGTTTTGACTTCACGAGTTTTCATTTCAGTTGATTTCCTCGAAACACGTAACTTTACTTTTGGAGAAATGCTTGCCGGTTGTTTCTTTCTCCCGTAGGGATGTGGATGAAAGGATTCTTTAGAAACATTGATGTTTCTTGGGGTATTTTTTATAAATATCTTTTGGAGATATTTTGATTAGGGGTTTTTAAGAAAATATCTTTTTCATTCTGGGCAGTTTTGCAGTTATCCCTTTTTGTAGGGGCCATTATGCAATTAACGAAAGTTATTGCAAAATGCCTCGTTTTGAGCTTGGATCCTCGTACAGGATTCATTTTTACTTTTCAACGAGTCGTGTACTCTTAGAATTTCCTCACGGTCGTTTTCCCCAGTTTTAGGGTTCCGGTTACAGCCAAACTTGTTCGGGGCATATCTTTCTGCACGGGATTCGGTTTTCGATGCTGTTTCTTCCGTTGTTAATTTTTTTTCATTTCAGTTCTTTTTCGTTCACGGTGTTTTACCGTTTGAGAGCGTTTGCGCAAATTTCACTTTTTCGGACTTAGTAGGGCCCTTTCGGGGCATTTTTTAGGGTTTTATTATAAATAAGGGGTTATAAAATTAAAAACATTTCATCATCTTCTTCTCACACTACTGCAAATCAGCCATGGAAGCCCAAGGGGGCTGCCACCCTTCTTTTCTCAAATTAACCTTCTTCCCCTTTGTAAAATGCCGTAGTACCTTGGTATTTATCGTAGGCCTTAGTGAGGTACTCATTTTCCCCTTATTAGAAGCTGATTCTGACCATTTTTGAGTTCGGGTTTGGATTTTCATGGTGCCTCAAGGTTAAAGTTGTTTAATCCCCGATATAACTTAGAAGTATGGTCGGATTCAGAGCGATTACCTTCCGGTGGGGATTTGAGATTTCATCTCAAAGTGAGGTAGGGGATGTTTTAGATTTATATAATTGTTGTATTGATTATTTTATAAGCTTATATAACATGTATGCATGCCTTTGTAATTAATCTATAATTTAATTTAATTTAATTATTTTCTTTGTATAAAATTTAATTCTCATGGTTGTATATAGCTTGAAATTAAATTATGGTATGTTATTAAATTAAGTATTGATATGTTCATTCCCATATATTAAATTGGGAGGATTTGAATAAGTATTGCAATTTTTATTTAATCTTTCACTTGTATGAAAATATAATTCACATGATTGTAACTAGCATGGAATCAACTTGTATTTGATATTAAATTAGGCATTGGTATGTTCTTTAACATATGTGAATTTGAGAATATTCGGAATTATTTTAAAATCTAGAGAAAATTAATTAATTAAGTTAATTAATTTTATTTTAAGTGTTATACTCCCTTAAGTGGATTTTTAACTTGATATTGTTGATGAGTTTGACATGTTTTATCATATACATTAAATTGAGAATAATTGAATAGGTTTTGAGACTTTTATTTAATTATTTTCTTGTATGGAATTTAATTCACATGGTTGTACCTAGCTTGGAATGAACTTACAACGTGATATTAAATTAGGCCTTAATATGTTCATTAACATATATGAAAATGAGAATATTTGAATGAGTGTGGAGAACTTTATTTAATTATTTTCTTGTATGAAGTTTAATTTACCTAGTTGTGAGTTAGGTAGAAATAACTTTTAAAGTGTTATTAAATAAGGTATTGCCATGACCTTTGACTTGTATTAGTTTTAGAATATTTAGAGTTAGTATGTAATCTTGAGAATATAGTTATTTAATTTAATTAAATTTCATTATATGCTTCCATTGAAGTAGTTAGGTATTGAAGTTGTTTTCATGCTTAACTTGTAAATTTGGAACTTGTTGTATGATTACATTATAGCATTCCATGAGTCGAGATTATAGTTTAACTTGCTTATATACATATTATATATTTGATATGTCGTATGCCATTGTAGTTTGAAGACATATGACGAATATTGTGTGTTTTACTTGACTTATTTGTGCATGGTAGTTGCCTAATATATTGTGTATATGTATTATACCTTGATGCATAACTTGATGATTTTAGGAAAGCTTATAAGGACATTGTAATATGTTATGGCTAGGGCATGGTTGTAGTACGGGGGATGAGAGCTCCCTCTACAACATATAATGGGCACTGGGTAGTTCACTGAGGGCTAATAACCCTAAAACACCAATATACGGTTTGATTCTGGGTTTAGTGCGCATTAGGTAGTACCTTGCAGGCTAGTAACCCGAGATCAGCTTGCTTGGTCATTGAGACCGTATGTTATTGTCTTTCCGCCACTACTTGATTTCACATTCAATTCCAAGTTGTTTAATATGGATTGATTTATAGCTTGCGATGTGGTGTTTGCCATTTCAATTAGGTATAGTATACATGTGCTTAGTACTTACTTACATGCCTTGCTTTTCAATACAAGTTAATAACACTAAATTGTCATAACTTGCTGTTTCTGTATTTTAGATTTCAAGTTATTAACTTTGATAATCTATGCTTTGATGCATTGTATTAGAAGTTCTATTGTGAGTTAAAATTGCATTGAAATCGTAATTTGCGTTTTAATTGTTCAATGTAACCTAGAATGATTCCTTAGACTCATTTGCAACATAGACGTTAGTTGGCATGAACCATTTCGGTTGTTTTCGCATTTTAGGTTACAAGTTGATAACTTTGAATACCTATGTCTTGTTGCGTTACCCTATATGCTCCTATGTTGTTAAATTGCATGAATAATGTGGTTTATGCTAGAAATACTCTAAGGTAGCTTAGAATGCTCCTTGAGTCTCACCTTTGACATAGACGCTAGGTGGCATGACTGTATGAATTGATTTATAACAACTTAATAAGTTTGTAAAATGCTAGGTCTATGCATACTCATCTCGTACGAATACCTTTATGTTACTCACCCACATAGTGGAAACATTTTTCAGGTACAAGATTTAAGATTTGAGGCTTTACATTTGCTTTGAGATGTCTTGTAGACTTGAAGTATCTATTTCATGAAAATGTCAGTATGAAATGCTATTTTTGATTCAAAATGTCAAAACCTGTATATTTGGTTCTAAATATGTAATGAGCACCTAAGTGCGCCATTTATGATATATTTGACATGTATGAGATAAGGCCATGGCCCAATGATATTTTTTTTATATTCTAAGTACTTTTACTTTCATGCCTATTTTATTGAAAAATAGGAAAATGCCATACTTTAACGTCACTACATTTGCATGGGTGGTGGAAAATGGGTTTTAATACTTCCATAGGGTCTCTTAAATCATGCATGAAGTGTGGCCAAGGGCCAAATGGTCATTTGAAACCATTTTATAATTTTGAGTTTCAAATTTTCCTTTTAAAGTCATTTTAGGCAAAATTTGAGGTTTAATAGGTGATATTTTATTTTTAGCTACCATTGAGGTTGTAGGCCATTAGAACGCATGTAAATATGTATATTACGTTTGTGTGAATGCTCACCTTGCACAAAATATTACATTTGTATGAAATGGATGCTTGTTGGTCTTAAGTTTTCCATTTAAAGCATTTTCTTTGCATTTTGAGGTTTGAATAGGTCGTATCTTGCATCGGACATTTTTGGGAGCCACAAACCATCCCCACGCGCTTAAAATCACTATTGTACGTTTGCATGCATGATCATTTTAGTACAAAACACCATTTAGGGTCAAATGAGCACTTGGTACAAAGTTGGGTTTTTCCTTTTTTTTTTTTTTTTTTTTAACTTAAACTGATTTAGGGACATTTTGGGAATTTCTTTTGAAAAATAAATTCTGGCCTTGACATGGTCACATAGAAAAAGCGATTTTAGGGAGGGGTTTCTTCACAACATTTTTTTTCCCAGAAAATACCGTCTCTGTCTAGAAATCTCTATGTCAAATCTGATTTTCTGTGCATATTTGCATTTTTTGAAAATGTCTGTTATAAGGGCATTTTGAGAATTTTACGTCAAAAATAAAATTTTCTTTCGACATAGTTAGTTTGGAAAAATTATTTTGAGGGGAGTTTCTTCTTTGTGTTTTTCTAAAAAACATCGTTTAGTGCCTCAAAACGGCACACAAATTTCAGCATTTTTTCCAGGTCTATTCACTGCTGTAAAATTACTGTTCATTGCTGTCAAAACACTATTCATGGTCTCGGCAACATCAAAACTTTGTTTTGACTTTTCCTTTCTATTCGGACTTTGAATCAAGTGATTCTTGAGTCTAACTTGATTAATTTTTCGCTGTCTTTCCAATGATGTGCTCAGTAGCACTCAGATTTTGCTAAAAATTACTATTTTGCCCTTAGGGCTAAACTTGTCGGTTTTTTTTTTTTTAAATTGCTTCTGCTATGCTTTTTTATGAGTTCCGTGACTTTTCATGAAGTCACAAATGTGTCTTGGGAATGATGTACATTTCCGGAGATGTTGCTTCCATATAAAAAGACTGTTTTGCCCTTGGGGGCTTCTTTTGATCTTTTTCTGATATTTTATTTGGCGTCGGTTCTTGTGAAGTTCTGTGGCCTCATGGAAGGTTACTTTGGCGTCCTAGGGATATTGTATATTTCTAGAGACCTTATTTCTATTTTTGCTTCCGCATTTCGGATCCGTTATGGAATTAAATTTCGATTCATCACAGAACGCACTAGCTTAAAAAATCAGGGCCGTCACAAATAGTAAGTCCTAATTAAAATGAGATAAAATTTAATTGACAAAAACATCATATTTAGCTGAAGACTCAAAATTTTGCAAAACAATTAAAAATATTCATTTTTAATTGTTACTTAAAAATATTCAATACTTAAAATTTAATTTTTAAAATTTTCAATTTTTTATCAATCAGGTGGAAATGCAGCGCGTGAAGGACCAGCGCTCAGAGAGAGAGAGAGAGAGGAAAAAAGAGAGAGAACGCTTTTCGGCTTCGTTTTCAGACAAGACAAGACACAGTCACAAGAGTGGAGTGGTGTATTTGTATCATTTTGAACGTGTCTATGTGTAATTGGGTCACCGCTTACTTCCATTACTGACACTTTCCCCCTCTTTTCTCTCTCTACTTTCTCTCTCCATATTTAGTACTCTCTCGCTCTAAGCTCAACAACATTCAACAACCTCTCTCTCGTTGCAGAGCGAGAAAGAGATGGACTTCGATGACGGGGTGTTGATAATTACAGACTCAATATCTGTGAACGCAACTGTTGTGGCCTGGGCGATTCAGCATTTCTCTGTTGAACTCAAGGACTTGAGGATCATCACACAGGCCTCTCTTCTTGGTCGGTACAAAATTTTCCCTTGTGAAACCCTAGAATTCAATCATTAATTTGATAATTCATTACTCTGCGAGTTTTGCACTTTTATATTCAGTTATTGGATTCTAGGATTTTGATTGGTAGAATTCAATCATTATTTGATAATTCATCACTCTGCGAGTTTTGTCACTGTTATATTCAGTGGTGGGATTCTAGGATTTTGATTTGTAGTGATATATGTTGTATGCTCAAATTTCTGTTCTGATTAATCTTATTATCTGTTTGGTTGCTGAGAAAAGGTTCTTGAAAAAATAATTTTGGAATTTAAATATTTTATGCATAGATATATTTGGGGCCTTAGAGATGAAACATCCACTTAACTGAGCTAACTAATACCCTTTGGCTTGGATTAGGATAGTTTCCTTTTTCCTTTTTTGGAAATCAAAACAAATTTAAGCATGAGAGTTGTCGGATAAATTTTGTAGATTAGTGCTTAGTTTGCTTGACAACAAAACAGAAAGTGGCTTCTTTTATTTAAGTATAGTCTGTTTTCTGACATGCAATAACACATTTATTTGATTTTAGTGCAGAAGGAAACCTTAATTTTAAGTCATCTTCATTATCTACAATTATCTCGATATCGGAGAAACCTGGTTTCCACAGCCAACTATGGCTATTAGAATTGGCAAAAGTTCTTAAGCCAGGTGGTTATGTATTTCTACAAGAACCGTCCTTCTTTCACCCAAACCAAGAATATGTAAGTTGTGTGTGTAATAACAATTGTTTCACACTTTTTTCCCAGTTATTTTTAGAGCCGTTGCATTGGTTTTGATATAGATTCCTTATTTTAGGTTTTGGGTGAAATTGATGAATCAAGGGCTTGTTTAGAACGCAACCTTTTATTCGCTGGATTTTATTTGATTGAGGGCTTTGAATGCCTTGATCACTCAGCCGAAATCAATCAAACATCTCAAGATTTTGAGCTTATTGCGGTAATATTTCAATTTAGAATACTTAATTATGTAGTTTTTATTGGTCAATATAAATGTTGTCATTTGATTGCCTTTCCATGCTTTAACCACTTCTTGGCCTACCTAGTCCAAATACCCTAATTATGACCTATGTATGTATTAATAGCCTGGTGATCACCTTAATGCATGATGTTCAATAAATTAAAACACATGATGGCTTGGTGGTTACTTAACTACGATAACAGATTTCCTTATGCTGGCTAATGCAAAAATATGTCTCGCAACAAATGTGATTTTGTCATCAGTCATATCCCAGGGACAGTTTGTAAAAGTTGGTCCTGTCACATGGAGTGATTGATCGAGATTGATTCTTGGTGCAAGCTACTACATGCTTAGTGATTTTGGAATTTACACCGAACTCCCTTCTAGTTTATACTTGTGTAACAGATTACCGCCTGTTGTCACGGTCTACATCGTTTGCTGCTGATGTTATGAAAGTTTAAACTAAAATTTCAAAATGATAATTTTTCCCTTGCAAGGTATATGGGAAGACGCATTTGCCATCTCAGTAACTTCTGATTTCCGCATAGATTTCTCATCTCATCCATTTATGTTTTAGACCATACCCTCCACTACACTGGGTTTGGAGATTTGATAAATGAAGATGCTTCATTGCTTCCTTCCACTAAAATGCTTTATAATTTCCTGCTAGTCAATCTGTCTGATTTCTTTTCTGGTCGGCTGCTTGGTCTGGGTTTAACGAAGCATTCCATGGGCATTGCATCACATAAAATGCTTTATTGTCCAGGCAGAATACCCTCAATATTCTATTAAAATGTTACCTCTTTAGTATTCTTTTATTTGGCAAAAGCATCCAGAAAACAGGGTGGAAAGAAAGATAGGATGGTGTTGACTTCTTTTTTTCTTTTGTTTTTTTCTTCATATACTTTTGTCAGTGCAGATAAAAGCAAAGAGAACGTATGATGCCGAAGAATTTTCTACCTTTCAAAAGACAGAAGCACGCAAAGTGGATAATTCAATTATTCCTATTGGTGGTTCTTTGCAACCACAGATTGAGGAGATGGATGACTTCATTGACGAAAACAGTTTACTTACAGAAGAAGATCCAAAGAGGCCCGAGTTGCCCCAAGGTTTGGATTTGGACTTAATTAAAATGTTCAATAAAAGTACTTGCGTTGTTGGCTTATTGCCTTGCAGCTTTTATCAATGTCTTTCTGTAGTATTATGATAATTTATTTTTTCCTATCTGAATTTAGTCTAGAAATCTTCACAGAATGCTTTTCATAGGACATTATATAAAATTTAGTCATGGTAGCTTAAGTTTAACTTACGATACATTTCAATTGTCTGTGGAAAAAGTTCATTCAAGCTAAGTATTTGAGTCCAGCTTCTAGTGAGAACTAGGGAGCTCTTGAGGTCCTGGCCACTGATAAATAACGGTTGAATGAGATTTTGATACATCTAGGGCAGCAACCTTGTTTAATAGCATGTGATTGTGTTGGACAAATATAACAGATTTGGATTATTTAGGAATATACAGAAGAGGCGTTGTCTCCTTTCTAATGAACACAATTGCATTGTTGGGAGGTAAAATTTTGTTACCGTTATATATTGAGAATTGATAGGGGTATGAGATGGGTATAGAAGAGAGTGAACTAGATCTGGCATTTTGGCTATCTCAAACTATTTTCAAGCATTTAGGGGTTAAGTTTTCTCTTTCCTTTTCTATTGGATTATTGGGCAACTTTAAGTTCCCTCTATGGTGGCATTCTTCAAATGGACCACGGCTCTAGAATCTAGATAAATTAATTATAATCAATTTATTGAAGCTCCAAGAATCAAGTTTCCCCTGGCAGACCTATATGTTAGGCATCCTTGAAATCTCTTCTTGTGATCCTTGTTAATAACACCTATATCTCTTCTTGTGATCCTTGAAATCAGACAACACAAAGAATATTAGATTTCTTCTTTGTTGTCAGAAATCAAAGGCTTTAGATTTGATAACAAATGCTTTTTGAAAAATTTACTGGTGGCTTTATTGTGACAATTGTGGATAAAGAGAATTGAACTGTTCATGGACAATAGACACAGATAGTTAAGTTAATTGCATATTTGGAAAGTTTTATAGTTCCATTAGTCTCTATATTGACACTTTGAAATTCATGCCTAGCTCAACCATATGGCTTTGTGTTTGACTATCACTTGCTCCTTTAATGACCTTCACATGGAAATGAATCAAAGTGGTCAGGGTTTGGTGGGGTTGTCTGGATCTCTTGGGCATTGCCTCACGAAGCTGACAACTCACCCCCTCTAGGGTAAGGATTATACAGGTTGTTGATTGTATCCAGGGAGGGAGAAGACTGGTCCTAACCCTCCAAGCATATTGGATCAGGAGGGGGCAGGATTGCGGAGGTGCTCATCAGCATCAAAATGCAGGAAAATAATGCCGGCTTAGGAATATTTGGATATCTCATAGTGGCTAGAGTTGCCGGCAAGTAGGGCTGCAAATGAACTGAGTTATTCATGAAGAACTTGAGATCGGCTCGTTTAATCTCAGTTTCAGCATCAGGTGAACAAGTTGAGCTTAAGCTCGTTTAGTAAATGAGCCAATCCCGAATTGTTAGGCTCGACTTGTGTAGGTTCATGAACACTAAGCTTGTGTAGTCTCGTATGTGTTCATGAACTCAGGCTCATGAAGACGTTTATAAGCATAGGCTTATGTAGGCTTGTATAGGGTTATGAACGTAGGCTCATGAACATACATTCATGAACATAGGCTTGTGTAGACTTGTGTAAGTTCATGGACAAGCCAAAGCGACCTTGAACATGACCTTAAACCGAGCCCGCTCACGAATATGATATCGAGGTTGACCTTTTCTATTAAACGAGTCAAGCTGAGCCGAGCTTGAGCTTTTTAAAATAATAAGTAGTCTAGCCAGAGCTCGAGCTCGTCACGATCCCAAGCCTAGCTCGAGTTGAATCACAAAACAACTGAGCCGAGCCTGGATAGACTGAAGCTCAGCTTGATTCATTTGCAGCTCCACCCACAAATTGAGATGGTCCCCAAATTGGATGTACCAAGGTGGTGAATTTTATATTGGTTAGACCAGAAAGGAGGGAGAAGTGGACGCCAAGTTACGACATGGGGCACGCATTTGTTCTATCACCTGCTGCTGACCTTCCTGGCTTAAGTCTGCATGCCATACAGCCATAGTTGCATTGTAATTGGCTCTAGGCTTCATATTGCACTTGTGTTCCACATTTTGTAGGACCTCTATATAAGGTCAAGTAGCAGACTCATCAGCCAATTGTTCAAATTGAACCTTGGGGAGATACTTCCAACTTTTCTCTTGCTCTCTCTTTGGACTGCTCCACTCTCGTCTGGAATCAATTATCAATCTGTTGCATTTACCGTTTCATGTGTATCACCTTCGATGGTATAGAACCACGGTTATAAAGTATCAACAGTCTCTTTCATTTGATTGAGTTCTGTGGGAACCCAATCTCTTATTTCCTGAAGTTTGTGATGGCATCCTCTTTCCTTATTTTGCAAAAAATTATGATTTTTGATGTATTTTCTTACACTTCATAAATAATTGTCACCATCTGCAGCTGAGATATTATTTAACATCCATTTTCCTTCAATATTTCTCTCAAGCTACTCGTTTGAGACTTGTAGGTGATATGCATTCTCCTAAAACAGAACTCTGTTGCTAGCAATTGAAGTTTGTTTTAAGGCTTAGAGTAATATCTGTAAATCATATTATGAGATATTATTTAACATCCATTTTCCTTCAATATTTCTCTCAAGCTACTCGTTTGAAACTTGTAGGTGATATGCATTCTCCTAAAACAGAACTCTGTTGCTAGCAATTGAAGTTTGTTTTAAGGCTTAGAGTATTATCTGTAAATCATATTATGAATAAGGTGACCAATGATGTCTTTATTAGCTTTTGGATAAACTTGTAAGTGACTTGCATTCACCTAAAGCATTGCAATTACAGTTCATTATTTCATCAAGAGGAACACTTATTTTTTCCAATTACATTTTTTGTAGTTACCTTGAGGGGATTCCCACTTCTGTTTATTATGTAACTTGCCATGCATCTAATGCTGCATTGTCAATAGCTGGACCATATGATCACTAGATTAAAGGGAAGATTGGTATTAACCATGGGAAACCTACACAGGTAGTTTGGTAAGTAAGAATGTTGGATTTTACCATACTACTCCAACCCCCTACTCCACACACCTGAAAAAATAAAGAAAAGGAGGAAGAAAAACAAAGGTAGAATAAGTTACAACGTCATATTTTCTGTATGATAATTCAGGAACTGTTTTATCTACTCTTTTTAGTGGGGGAGGGGCGCTATCTGTAGATTTATTCATAAAATGTATTTCAAAGCCTTTATCTTCTTAGCTTTGATCCTATAGATTTATTTATAAAATGTATTTTCGTTGCATTGAAAGACTAAAGCCTAATGAAAATGTCTTCCCATTCTCTCATCTTGGGAGGAAATGTTGGAAATTGTTTTTCTTGAGAAATTTTTTTAACTTTAGTTTTGCATTGGCATTAATTACCAATCATGAGGACTCTCGCGAAAGTTTTTAAACAGTGTGTACAATAATATTAGTAGATGCTATTCAGACTGCTTAAAGCATTTTTTATCAACACATACATAAAAAGTATGTCTGCAAATTTAGTACTTGTTTGTGCTTCCTTTGTAATTTTTTTACTAACTTCATTTTATTTGGTATTTCTTGGCACGCACACACAGATCCACAAAAAAATAAAAAACTAAAATAAAATAAAATAAAGGGTTACTTAACTGTCTGAAATATTTGTCTCTGAATTGTGGGATTTTTGCATGTGTCAATTCAGTGTGCTCTTTTTAAATTATATTTATATTTTTTTGATTTATTCTGGAGCAGGACGTACCATTACTTGATTCTTATTTTAGCATATGTTTTGTGTCAAGTTAGTTCCATAGACACTATTTATTTAAATGATTAAATGCTCCTAATAGGTAATTGTGTATTTCTTTTCCATATATGTATAATTTCACAGTGCTCACGTACACTCTATCTGGCATCACCTAGTTACATAGAATATTGCATGGGCATGGCACATGCACATATCAGAAGGCAGGAATGGTTGATAAATAGTCTACAAGAAACAGAAGTATGTGGAAAGACAAGGTGAAACTATGTATTCAAGGAGTTTGAAAGTTCAAATCAGACTTCATTCATGTGGAAGCCTTTACCTTCTATACTGAACATCTATTATATTATGTCATTGGCCAATCGACTACTTAATAGTCAATGCTGCTTTTAGGAACTTCTGCTCACCTCTGTTGGACCTATTCAACTACTAAGCTTTAATGTTGTTACTGAAATCAATAATGATTATTAAAAAATATCCCATTTTATGTCTTATATTAGATGAAAGTTATTTTATACGGGAACGTATACGTGAACGAAATCGACTCTACCAACGTAGACGCCGAGCAAGAATGACAGAAGAGCAAAAAAAACGTGAAAAGGAGAAAAGAAGGCAGTATATGCAAAGCCGAAGAGTTCAGCCTGTTAGTTATGAAATGCCACTCCCTATACCAGTTAGTTGTGCAGCAGAAGAATGTGAACAAAGCTTGCTCTGCGGTCAGCAGCTCCGAGGATCTCACATTATTGATATGGAGCATAACCAGGTTGTGGGAGCAAGTGAAGCTTTGTAGCTGGAAAAGAACTGCTGTGAAGATTCCCATTAGAACTTTGACAGAGGAGAAAGGAAGTCACATACTGGTAGCGCAGTTGCAGCAGCTGTATCGCTTGAATGTGTATAAACTGTGAGAACTTGTGGTGCTAAGAGATCAGCCATTTCTCTAAAATCCTCGAAGATAGCGATAAAGTCAATACCGGCTTTTAACACATACGAACATACATGTACATTTTATGTATACATATAGCTCTAAAATGGGGGACGAACACTCTCCTAATATGAAGGTGAGCCCCCAAGCTCTTGTCCTCGATATAATTTATTGTATATATGAAATTTGTTTGGTATCAGAGAGGGGCTCTCTTTTGACCCATGTTTTCTCAAGGACTCGCGCTCTTGTTTAAGAACAGCTACTTGTATTGATACTTTTACTAGTGTGGATCTTGATTTTGTTGGTTGTAGGGGCATGTCAATATTCAGTTGCAAACTTGTTCTACTTGTGTTATTTGTAACTAATTCTTGTATCTTCCTTTTCTTCTTTGTCCACTATTGTTGGTTTAATAGCTTTCTTGTGCATTAGCTAGAGCCTTAGTTGTTGTAATTATTCTCAGATCATGTGAGGAAGTATCAGCACTATATTTATACCTTGTGGGATTTTTAATGTTATTTTTCGAGTTTTTGAACTTAGAGCTCATGGTTTAAATAAGACAATAGAATGTAGTCCGAAATTCACTTGAATGTCTAAGTAAGTCACTTCTGCCAAAATTTTCTTCTTACTTCAACTTTGCAATGGAAGAAGAGAGACCAAGTGGGATAAAATGAAGGTCAGTACAATTTTTCATGTGCCAAAACATTTTCAAATCTCAAGTTGGGTCTAAACAAAAAAAAATTATAATCCGTCGAATTTGGTACGAGGTAACAAACAATTACACCAAATACGAGAGTAAAAATTTGTCAACCCAAGTGAATAATTATTAATACAAGATGGATAATTATAAATATGAGGATATGACAATTTATGAGACAATCTAACTGTAAATTATTATATTTAAAATAATTTGAAGCTGAATAACCTTTCAGTCCACCAAATCAGCATCAATTTTTCATCCAAAACTCAACTCAAATTAAAAAATTTGAGCATGGATTTTATTTCTCTGCCAAATGTTCAAGGTGTGATTTGAAAATAATAAAAATTATTTTAAAATTATAGACATGACAATAAAATATGGGATATGAATTCAAATATATCCATAACATGTTGGGTTTGACATTTTCGCAGAAGTGTCCGTCCTAGCTATCAACCCATCCAACTCATTCATTGGTGTTTATAAGGTGTCGAGTCGGGTACCGTGTCCGACCCGTGCTTGTAAGAAATCAACACGTCCAACTGATTCGGGTTGCACTCTCGCGCGCTATCAGCGTTTTTACCGAAATGTCTCTGCTTTGGTAGTCAGTTGGTACCTCCTCTCAGAGAGTCTGATCCCTCACACAAACACACACACACACACAAACTCACACACATAGACCTTTTCTTTTATGGCATTTACGTGCATATCTTCGGTTCAATCGGTCCACTCCAAAATCCCAATCCATCAGAGCTATAGCATCAATCGATTAAACTATCATCACTCTCCCATTGTGATGAGTTTTCGCCAAAGCCCTAGACAATCTGTTCATCTCCTTTCAAAGTCTTCACGCAATGATTTCAAATTCCATCCTAGAAAGACTCGCATTCAACGATATTCACCAACAAACCCTAAATTCACGATCCGAGCTTCGACCAACAAGTCACAAGTTTCATCCAACACTAAGCTCATCATTGTTAGCTCTGCAATCACCATAACATTAGCCGTCGCGAATCGAGTGCTCTACAAACTTGCCCTCGTTCCCATGAAGGAGTACCCTTTCTTCTTAGCTCAGGTCACGACTTTCGGGTAATTCTCTCATCGAATTCTCATTTTCAGCCTATTTAGAAAACACACACACACATACGTATTCATGTAATATATTCATATTGATGCATATGTGGAAATTTGATGCTGCGTCTGATCTAGTCTTGTAATATTTTGAGTTAAATGTGGAGAGTTGAATTTTGATATGATATTGAGAGAATGATAATTATTGATATTTACTTCTTTTTTTTTTTTGTCTGATTCTGATTATATGCATAAGCTTCAAAAACTTAAATTTGGTAACTATAAGGATGATTTCAGAAATATTTCAATAATCAGTATCAAATGCATTATGGTGGATATGCTATAACACTAAGCCGGCTCCAAAATTTCTTGTACTTATGAAATGTCCGAATTATATCCACCACTTTGAATATTCATTGAAGGTAAAAGAGTAATTTCAGAAAAAAACTACTACCTCCGTCCCAAATTAGATGTCCTGTTTGAAAACCGCGACTCACGGTTTCCCAAACAGGACATTTTTTTTGGGAGGAGGGAGTATATGGTTTTAGCTAAACACAATTATGGGAGAGAGTCATTTTCTTTAACAACAGTTACATCTCCAGTATAATGACCCTAAGAGGATAGTAACAATACGGTTCCATCTTAGTGTGTGCTTCCAATCTGGTATAATAGAAAAGCAAACTAAGTTTTGTATTGGCTAGGATTAGATTATCACATCGCAGGGTGCAGGCTCATAATGTATTTAACATTATTAATCACAGTCCAATCTGGAAATAGGTCAGTTTGAATGGTTTGTTGACACTATTAAGCACATAAGCAGACATATGGGCAACTATTGGAGTTACCGATACAAATCACACCATTTTTCCTTAAGTTGGTCATTTTCTTCGAAGGGAAGGGATTTCAGGAAGGTCCTTTGTTGATTTATGATGTGGAATTGGTTTTATAGACAAGTGATGTGGTGCACTAAAGTAAGTCTTTTCTTTAGAGGGTTTTGTTTTGAAGACTTAAGAGAGGTACAAAGTATTCTTAAGACAAAAGGGGATTTCTCTGCGCCAAGCTTGTGTTATCTCAATTAGAGGGTTCTCATTACCTTATCTGATAATGATAAAATGCAAGTTTTTTGGTATGTTAATTTTGGATTGAAGCGGAATCAATATAAGAACTTGGAGTTGAATGTATAGGTACCACAATTGTTAAAGTTGGTAGTTGGAGCATGATACTATTCATCATAGTATATTTCTTCTTTCCCTTTCATTGAGGTTCACTTCCTTGAGTATTTATTACATTGGTGCTAGTAACTTACCATTTTGATCATCCTAGTACACTTGAAACAGTGTCTTGCAAATGATACTGGTTCTGTTATACGCAGGTATGTTGTTATATATTCTTCTATACTGTATATAAGATATCGTGCCGGGATTGTAACTGATGAGATGATGGCTATTCCGAAATCACGTTTTGTGTTCATTGGTATTTTAGAAGCCCTTGGAGTTGCTGCCGGGATGTCTTCTGGAGGTACTGTATACTATTTATTTTAAGACAGATCATCAGATTTCGAGTTTCGTAATGGTGCCAAAGAAAATTTATATATGATTGTTAAAGTAATTAGTTGTAGATAGTTTCAATTTCTTCAGAAGTTCAGATTTATTATTATTATTTATATATATATATATATATATCATCTACATTTTTTTCCCATCATGTTCTAGTCATGATGATTGTCTTTTAGAGCATAGGGTGTGTTCAGCAGGTTTGCTACTGGATAAAATCCAGAGAAAGCAAAAGCGAGATCAAAATGTTTCGAAAATGAGAAATATGGAATGAGATAGAATCTGGAGTTCAATTATGGCCTTTGTACTGAATTTTATATATTTTTTACAGCCATGCTTCCTGGACCAGCTATACCTGTACTAAATCAGGTACTGTTAATTATATGAAATAGTTTGAAAGAAGATTGGTGACTAAACCAATTTTTGTATTTAACGAGGGCTCACCCTGAGGGCTATTACATATAGTAGTCTGTTTGAACTTTGAACGTAATGTTGTTTCTCCTTTTATGTCTATAAATCTCTTTTGGTTGCTTACTTCAATGTTTTCGTGTTGTTATTTAAATCTGATATAAATGTGCAGCTATGCAGTACCCATTAATGCAGTGTTTTAAGAGCCAATTACTCAAAATTTGTTGAATTGATGGCCTTTTTCTTCTTGAGTTGTCTTATGATCTGGGAACTAGCTTTATGAAATTTCTTCTGTAAGATATTTGTATATTGGAATTTTATTTCAGAGTTGAGTTTATACTAGAGTGTGAACAAAAAGCAGTTGTAAGTCTTGTTGGTCTTGAGTCCTTGCCAGTCGCCTTACTGATGAAGATAAAGCTCAGAGTGAAATCGAAGAATGGAGATTGAAGTTTCATCAGAATATCTCAACAATGTGCTCCATGATATTCAGTCACTCTTAGGCAAACTTAGGAAATAGGTTGGTAAAGGCTTATAAAATTTTGGACCACTTTTGACCTAGGTTTTGAACTTGTTTAATTGCATAATTTTTTTTTAATTGACCTTCATGCATTAGGAAACTTTCTAAAATGTTTTTAAAAGTAAACATATGTTTTGGAAACTCTTGGTAAAGGCTTATAAAATTTTGGACCACTTTTGACCTAGGTTTTGAACTTGTTTAATTGCATAATTTTTTTTAATTGACCTTCATGCATAAGGAAACTTTCTCAAATGTTTTTAAAAGTAAACATGTGTTTTGGAAACTCTTGAACAAGATTTGAGTGAGCCTTGATCGATGCCTACATCAGGTGTTGTAAGTTTGACCTTTATGTCCTTTTGAACTCGTACTTATTCCATACTCAGAATGTAGTTGTGATGTTTATATGATCAGAAAATAGATATGATAAGCTTTCCAATAATATATCATATGCTTATTTTTTAGTTTGTTTGTCAACTCAATAAAGTCCAAAAAGTCAAGGTCTTCTTTCGCAGTCTTTGAAAAATTTTCAGAGTGAAGTTGCACCTGTGAAACTTTGTCCAGTAGGGAGTTGCACCAGAGGAACTTTTTCATGCATCGGTCCAACTTGCCCATAATCAATTTTGACTAGTTTTTTACACGATTCAAATTCGAATTAAATGAGAACTCAACCAAAACATGTCCAAAACATTCCTAATGGATTCATAATCATTATAGGACTTGAATAAAGGTTTCTAAATCCTACATAAAGGAGTTTGTGGTAGAAAGAGAGAACACACAAAAGAGTAGAGAAGGGATACTTTGGAAAATGCTTACTCTTTTTCATTAATTTTTTAGGCTTTGTTCATCACATAGTTGGGATTTTATTAGAGACCATTCATACTACTTTATGATTGATCTGAGAGCATGGAGCTTCATTTATTTTAATGCATCAACCGTCAGTTAGGTAATTGTTTGCATGCTCTTGTGGAAGAACATGGATGTTTGATCACCAGGAGAAACGGTCATCATAAGGTGTTTGTGTTAACATGGATCAGTGTTGCTGGTGATTCCGAAGGCACTAGAGTCGAAGGACACTGACCCGTCGAAGGTAAACCAACGGCTAGTGATTACAACGGCACTTGAGTCAGCGACTCATGAAGAGCAATTTCGAAGGCACTAGAACTTGTACTCGTTCTCGATATAGTGGATTAGTTTGCATGAGATGACATAGTCTCCATGATTTTTTCTCGCTGAAGTTTTCTACGTAAATAATTTAATTGAATTAAATAATCAACTCAGTGATAATCAAACAATAAATAGACCTATTCATCCCCCTCGAGGTCTTGTAAGTTTTCGTTGGCATTAGTCTCAAGTGGTATTAGAGCTTAGCATCTGGTATCATTATTTCCTTCATCTTCTTCCTCATAAAAAAGTATTCCTTAATTGCGCAGCTCTAGGTTTGCTGAATTCTACTTAGGGTTTAGGGATTGGTGAGGCCATTTGACAATTAGGTACATCATAATTTTGGGACATGTCATTTGTCAAACACTTAATATATGGTTTCTAAATAGGCAAGAGGATATATACAGATGGATGGATGGATGGATGGATAGATATTGTACATGAAGTTTATGTCCAATATAAATAACATTAGAATTCCAAAATCAACCCTCACTGCTAGGAGAATTGGCCAAGATGAAGGCTCAGAAACTGCATGTCTCAGATTCCTCTTTCCTTAGACGTTCCCAATGCACATGGTTTGGGGAGACAGGGTATGCATGCATCTATTGGAATTAATCATCACTCAAAATGGGTTGGGGAGAACCTTGTGTGAAATGGGGAAACAAATATTATATTCCCAAAGTAATCATAGAGAACAATACTTCTTAAAAAATTAAAGATAATAAAGAACAACTATTGACCACCAAAGGCTGTAACCTAGTGGTATCTCCTCTACCTCACAAAGTGGACGGTGAGGGTTCAAGTCCTATTAAGGGAAAATGGGTGAGTGTGAGTTTCTTGCCAAGGGAAAAAAATAATAATAATAAATAAATAAAAGAACAATTACTGTGAAACTGGTTCATCTAGAGACTGATATTAGTGCCCCCATAAATGTGGGTCAAGGTTGTGATAGAAAATGTACCTACGGTTTAGGCAATATATATATAGCTTGATTTGGAATAAGGATTTGTTTGACTGAATTTAGGTTTCCTATGAGATCATTAACCTGGTATTTTTTCTAGATTTCTAATGCATCAGAATTAGACTTTGCAATTCTTTTAAAGTACAAAAATCACTGTCCAACAAACATTATCCAATTTTCTTTATTGGGTATGCTTGGGGCTCTGTTGGCATGCGCTTACACTGTCAACTAATAGGTTGGGGTTTGGAACCATTCAAATTCTGAGGCAGTTCAAACTGAGGTTACGAGGTATCATATCACTTTTTTCCCTTGTATGAAAAACAGACTTCACTTGATAGAGGTGGAAAGATCCGTTTCTTTATATGCCTTGTCCTAATGCTTCAACCGGACAGATCAACAGCTAATCTATAAACAATAAATATTCTCAAGCTAACTTCGTTAGCTTGGCCTAAGAATCCTGATTATGTCCCGATGCCTTTGGATTTCTCTCCATATCTTTTCCAGAGGCATCCTCCATTCAGTCTGTACATAATCTTAGAGGATCTGCATGACATTGTGACAGCGTAGCATGCAGCCACCTGAAAAAGCCCTATCTTGAAATTCAAATAAGAAATGAAAAGGATTCGTGTACAGTGTTTGTGTCATTGCTTTTCTGGGATGCAGAGCCTTTAGTGTCTTCTGATAAGGCTTTATGGCTGCTGCAACCTGGCAAAAATTTTCTCCTTTACTGGTTAATTCACTGTCTTATCCATGCTAGGTATATGTGTTAATGCATAAGGTTACCTGGACATTGACAAGAATTATGTTTCTGAGTAAGAGATTATGGATATATTATGCTGAGAGTGGAATCTTAATTAAATGGTTGCTGAATTTATTATTTCGTTTATAGAATATAGATACAAGTCAGAATAAGGCCTTCTATTATATTGGCAATACGCTATCTCCTCAAGACTGCTATCTGAAATTTTCTTGCAGACATTTTTGGTGTGGCAGTTGGCATTTTCTACCCTTCTTCTGGGGAGAAGGTACTCAACAACTCAAATTGCTGGATGCTTACTCGTAGCTTTTGGTGTGATCACGTCAGTTGCTAGGTATATCAGTCTATTCTCTCAGAGTTCTAGAATTCTTAAAGTATCTAAAATTTCAAATTGGTACTGTGCCTTCACATACGATGTTGTGGGGATGATATAGATCTTATGAAAGGCACCACGTGTGATTTATTTGGATATTGTACATGGTGGACATCTTTCATGGATGAATCTCAGCAAAGATTTGAGCAAAAATGCAAGATGAATCTGAGCAAAGATTGGCAAAAAGACTAGACGAATCTAATAATATAAATGACATCGTTTACATGGTTATAAGATGATTTCCAGGAAAGGTATACTTATGAGAGGATTGGGTTTCTACTAATGTTTGTTCCTTCTAACAAATTTAATTTTGATGATAAAGACTGGCAGATTTTATTTTCAAATATTGGAAAGTGATATTGATCATATTCATCTTTTCTTCAAAACCATGAACTCTGTACGGTTGGAACATGATTGATCTGTTTATAGTGTTATCGTTGTCATTTTGATGTCCCCATGGACCAGTTTCTGTTCCATGTTAGTTTTTTCTAGAAACTTATAACTACATTTTGCTCATATGATCTGTATAACTGGCAGTCGATGACAGTTGATGAATGACATAAAAAGGAGGGACAAGAAAAAAATAACATAAATGTCATTTATATAGGATCCCTCTCAAATGTCAGTGCAGGTGCTCAAACTCCATCATTGCCTTCTTGTCATTAACTGTATGCGCGTTTGATGCACCAATATAAGATCTGAAATGGTTCTCAACAGCAGGAAATCCTTTTTGACGAAAGGGAATTTTGGTTTCTCTGTTCACCTTTTATTATACCCTATCCCAGATGGTGTCTCTTGTATTCCCAGAAGATGACCTTTTATTGATTACATGGAAGCATGGTGATTTTCTGGTATCTGAGGGGTGCTCGCCCTGCTCTGGGAAGCTGATTTCAGAAAGTTTAAACATTTTTTATTCCTTTCCATGTGTGTATCTGTCTTTGGATGTTGTTATCCTTGCCCCTTATCATGATTTGTGCCCTTAATCTTTTTGTTTAATTGTAGTGGATCAGACACTGGTCAAATGCTATCTGGAATCGGGCTTTTGTGGCCAGCATTAATGATAGCTTCAAGTGCTTTTCAAGCTGGTGCATCCATCCTCAAGGTATGCATCTCCTCTTGTTCATGCTGCAACCCGCGTAGTCATATTTACAAGGGTAACCCTTATGAGTGAAATAACTAACTTTGACTAAGTGCGCATTTCAATAGGAATCTGTTTTTGTTGATGCTGCAATCCGCTTGAAGGTATGGCTAAAAATTTTCCCTTTAGAAAATATTCACTACCTTTTACTTGGTCAACAAATGATTTTTTGTGATTGTATGATTTCCTTCTCTTAAAATTTCTCAATCATAATGCAGGGAAAGTTGCTTGACATATTTGTTGTCAATTCATTTGGATCTGGATTCCAGGTAATTTTTATAAGGGTTGCTAGGTAAACAAACAAATTTTATTCTCTCCCCACCTTCTCGGCATGTATCAGTCTTATAGTCTATTAATTGGCAAGAGTATATGGTAATATTGGTTGCCAAAAATCACTGCTAGTCTATGCTTGAAATCACTATATTCAAATTCTTGAGCTAGTCTGCATGACTTTGTCAAAACTACGTTGCTAATGCTACCAACTGATCAACAGTCTTGCCGATCCCATTTGATACAACTGTAACAGTAAGTGCATTTTAGTATGAAAAGATGTATAGTTTTTGGCCATATTATAAATATGAAAGAGAAAATTTTCTGGAAGTGTTGACGCATAAATTGTCATAGTTGATCCCTAGTAGCATGACCCTTTGCCAACTAGGCAGGGTACCAAATCCATACATATTTTAAGGCCCGTTTGTCCAGATGGCAACAGGACAGTTGCGGAAAATGGTAAGCATTAACACCACTCTGAATGTGGAACAAGGTTTTGTTTGGTTGTGTTTAGCACAATTGGGAAGCTTAGTTATCGAAAATTTTTGGGCAACTCTATATCTAGTTGATTATTTGACTAAGCTGTACACATCCATTCCCCCCTGCTTATTTTGTAGAGTAAAAAGGCTGATCTTCTATTGGCTCACCGTATTTAATCCCAGAAAATTATGAATTCGTGTATGGTTAGTTGTGTTGAACTTCACTAATGTATATTCATTAAATTTTTACATGGGAGAATCTCAATACGTTATCTGTCATTATTTCTCATTGTTATTTTTTAATTTTTTGGACACTTGTAGGCTCTCTTTGTACTTCTCTTTCTACCTTTCCTATCAAACTTGAAAGGTATACCGTTTTCTCAGCTCCCTTCATACCTTAAGAGCGGTGCTGGTTGCTTTTTCAGTATTGGTGCCAATACACCAGGTAAGCTCCTTCTTTCCTTGATAAAATAGGATGGTGCAAATGGAAATAAAAAATTAGATGAAGGCAGTATTTTCTTTATAGAATTTAAAAGTAGGGCTTTTGCCTCCTATGAGAAAATTTAGTCAATGGCTTTGGTTCTACTTTTAAGAAATTTCCATTGTTAATTGTGAGATCACTGTCCTGCACTTTACCATTTCCCGTGTCCATTCCTTAATTCAAATCTAAAGTACAAAATCTTTTAACACTGTCCTATCTGTTCCAAAGTTCTTTCTATTCATTCTCCAATTCATAAAAGATTTAATTTCTATATCAACTGATTGGGTTCCAAGTATCATATATCATATTATACAATAGGACATGTTTATATAACTTTTAAGGATTGATTTGAGATCTTATTATTTTATCAAGTAGAATAGTCTGAGCATCAATATCATTTGGGAAAGAGTTGGGAAGCCAAATTATATCACATAATAAGTTTAGCAGGTAAAGGATAGGCAACAATGGAACAATGATGTAGTGAAGAGAATTCTTTGGAAAAAATATTGAAATAAGTATTTAATTGCTTCCTATCATATAATAAAAGGGGGAACTCGTACTTTTCTGTGCTCTGCATTCCTACTTTTCTAGTCTTATCCTATGTCGAAGGGCACTTCTCTAAATTATAATTTCCGTCAATTTATGGTACAAGAGTAAAAAGTTGGGAAATTTGCTCATCACATACGGTCTTGGATATGATGGTTTGATGATGTCGTCAATTGTATGACTGAAATTTGGTTTGATGGGTCTGAACTTTTTGTTGTCGAAGTTGAAGACTTGTCCCTAAACCAATGCCACTGGACTTTGCACTGGCAAAAAATCAGTTATACAGATGCTTATGATGTAACTTATGACATAAATGCATGTACTGTGATTTTTTCAGAACTAAATTTAGCTTAAACTGGTTAATTGGAGGGACGTCATCATCCATGTCCAAAACAATGTATCATTCCCACTGACAAATGGGATGGTATCAAAAGATTTTGTTATCTCCGGTGGTGGTTCTTATTTCTTTTTCACTGGTGTCAGGTTGTGATGGGGCTCCATTGTTGCCCCTACTTTATATAGTAACAAATATAGCTTTCAACATATCACTGCTCAACCTGGTAAAAATTTCCTCAGCGGTTGTTTCTTCTCTTGCTGCGATGTCATCAGGTTTTTTTTTTTCTCTCTCTCTCTAACACGCGCACACATGTATATACAGATACATGTTGTATAGCCTTGTACTAATGGGTGCTTTTGCTTTTTTGCAGTGCCATTATCAATATATGTTCTTTCGCTTCCATTGCCATATCTCCCAGAAGGTGCCAGCTTAAGCCCCCTTTTCGTTTTTGGTGGTATGATTCTCTTGGTGGGTCTCATTCTATACAACGTACCTCGGCCTCTAAAGCAGGAATTTTAAATATCCAAGGTTGCAATTTTGCAAGTGTAAGAGATATATACATCAAATACTTGTAATTCTCTCAATGTAAATCTTGGTGGGTCTCATTCTATACAACGTACCTCGGCCTCTAAAGCAGGAATTTTAAATATCCAAGGTTGCAATTTTGCAAGTGTAAGAGATATATACATCAAATACTTGTAATTCTCTCAATGTAAATCCTGTAGTGTCGTTCTTTACAAAGATATTCATTCTTGTACAGTTAAACCCTTGCTGTATGTTGCATTGGACAATGCACTGTGTGCAGAAGGAAGGTTTAATCAGTCCATTTTGAATCAAATGCTGTGTCACGATAGACCTTGCCGACTCTTGATTCCTTTGGGCTAATTTGCTCCAATTCCAATTCCATGCCACAAGCTCCAATTCCATGCCACACACTGTTCTTAACAACTTCAATATGACTACTTTTTTCGATATCATTCATTAGATTTACTAGTCTATGTAACTAATGGTGCTTAAGTGGTTGTATTTTTTAAGGGAAAATATGTTGACAGATGCATTTTTGTATTCTGTAAGAACTTGATTGTTATTTTTCCAGTACATGTAAATAAAATCACCTTGTAGCTTGTTTTGCCTCTTGCTTGGTTTGTCAGTTGGGAAATAAAAATTATTTTTAGAGAATTATAAAATACAAATTATCTGATTTTTTTATAATTGAGATTTTAGGAAATAATTTTTAAAAAATTAAATGAAGCAGAATTTTTTTTAATAATATTTTAATTTTTAATTTTTTAAAAATAAAAAATTATTTCTTGAGTGACAAGTTCAACTAGACGATACTCAACTCATTTGAACTTAACATTCGTTCAAAATCCAGTCTTGAAGATGTGAACTCATTAATCAGTTGGATAATTTTTTTGCAAATTAAATAAAAAATAATAACCAATCCTCGGGAAATCACTTCTCTCAGATAACATGTTATGATCCTTCTTTTCCTTCAATGGAAGGAAGCCCATCTCCTGATTTCCTTCCATTTTCCGTTCCGTCAAAAGGAAAGGTAAAATAGTAACTACTCATTACATTCACAATATAACAGTCATCGTTCTCAATGACCCCCCGCCCTTCCTCTCTCTTCCATTCTCGTAGACACTTCTCACTCTATACTGCTTTCTTCTCTACACAATCACAGCCTTCACAACCATCACTATCACTATGCCCTGCACATCAACCACTGATAAAAGACACAAACACCCTCCAAAACCATCAATCACAGACAAACAACAAAGACCCTTTTCACTACCTGAAAGCTTTCTCTACCCTCGCCACAACCCTCTCCAAAAACCCTAGAAACCTCAATGCTCTGAGCGCTCTAGACTCTCTGCTGTCTCAAACCCATCTCTTCGATTCGGCTACTTCAGTGTTTGTAATTCATTGTTTATCTCAATTGAAGAAGCTAGGAAGAGCGAAATCTGCGATTTATAATCTTAAAAGCAAAGGTGAAGTCTCTGATTACTTTATGTACAGCTTAGTAATTGATTGTTTGGTTAAAGATGGTAAGATCGACGATGTTGAGACTGTGTGGAATGAAATATGTGTCTCTGAATTGTCGACAATTCGACGATTTGGTGTATCGGATTATGTTATACATGTATGCAAGTTTGGTGGGGTTTGTGAGATTAAGAGTATTTGTGAGAGAATTTTATTGGGTTGTGGGTTTTGAAGAAACAGAGCTATATTGCTTTGATTGGGGCATTGTGTAGAGCAAATGAGGGATTGTTAGCGAAAGAGATTGTCAGAGAAATGTACAATAATGGGTTTATAGTTGATGATTTAACTTGTTTTGTGATGTTTCAGTCTTTCTGTAGAAATGGAGATTTAGACGAAGCTGATTTGATTCTGAGGAAATTGGTGAAACGAAAGTACCATCTTGATATATTTATATATGGGAATTTTATACATGGGCTTTGTAAATCGGGTAAATTTAGAGAGGCTAATAAGCTGTTCCGAAAGTTGATTCAAAGAGATTGTTTGGGGGGTTCGAAAAATGTTGATTTTTTGAGGGAGGGGAGGAGGGTAATCTTCCAATTAAATTGTGAGGGTGCAGTACCGGAAATAATAGCTTATGAGATGTATTTTCGGTCATTATGTAATGTTGGAAGGCTTGATGAGGCTGAAGCATTGCTGAAGAAGATGATGAAGAAGAGAGCTGTGCCTGAAATTTGTGTATATGGCTTCTTTTATTAAGGCTCTATTTCGGGCTGATAGGGACCAAGATGCTATGAAGTTCTTTAATGTTGAGAGAAAGAAAGGGATTGTTCGAGTTGATGAGATTGCGAGATTTATCATCATGGGGCTATGCAAGAGGGGTAAAGTTGATGCTTTCAGGATTTTTGATGAGGTTGTGACGAGTGCTGGGATTGTCAGTTGTACAGGTATATGGAATGGTTTGCTTGGCAGTTATTGGAAATTAGGAAGAGTCGCTGAAGCAGAGAGCTTGTTTGAGAGGTTCCGGAATGGTAGTTTTGGACGGCCTGGTGTATTAATGAGTATTGCAACACGGGAGATGTTTCTAAGGCACTTTACTTATTTGAAGAAATGTTAACTAGTAACATGGGGTTTAACGGAACATTATATGAGATGATCATTAAAAGATTATGTGCGTGTGGGAGGGTCAAGGAAGCACTTAAATCCTTGAATGACATGATTCAAGATGGACATTTAGTTTTCTTCACAAAATGGAAAGTACTTTTCAAATCATTTACAGAAGTAGAACATGGTATTTCTTTTGGGTTTTGAACACGTGGGAAAACAATTGGAAGAAAATGTATTTCTTTATTGGAATACTTGCATTCGCAAGACAGGAGTTATGTAGTTGATCCCATTTAGTTGGGGGAAAGATTTTGTTGAGTTGAGTTGTGTTGAGCGGTACTTGCATTCACAAACTCAGGTATGATCTTTTTTCTTTCAGAATTAAAGAGATTGATTCTGTATTCATTGTTGTGTATATATTTGTGTTTGTATACATATGTATACTTATGATGTGAATTGAAGACTTGGTATCCCACTACATAGATGCAGGCAATTGGCTCAATAGATAGGCCATTTAATTTTTAAACTCAACCAGATATCATTTTTCTAGTTCATTGGAGGATGTGGTAGCTTATCAGATCTAATCTTTGGCAGGATAGAAAAGATTATTGGAATGTGCTTTACAACGATGTTGCAGACTTCACTCATGATAACTATTGAGAGTTTAATGGTGATGAATTCTTTATTCAAATTGAGATCCCATCTCACGAGTATATGGAGATGTTTACCTGCTTTTGCCAATTCAAATTATTCAATTTTTTGTATATGGAATTTTGTTATTAGAGTTGCGCACTTTCAACTGTAGAAGTCATGCAGCATATTTATGTTTTCCACAGCACATAGACCATAGTTTGGGGTTGTATGTTTTCATCTACTCTGCCACTCCCAACTGTTGGATTGGCAACATTTCTTATTGACAACATGTTGGTACCACAGAGACGCGGTCAACTTGTTTTCGATACATTTCATAAATATCTTTAAAGTACTTCCTGTGCATGCATGAGATTCTACAATTACACGTAGTTCACCTTTCATGCTCTCAAAATTTATTCAAAGTCGTTGCTTCCCCTTTCTCTCTCTCTCTCTCCAAACGCAATTTTGAAATTCAGATAAGAATGAATTGCCAGTGGTATGACACCTCTTCAAGTTCAAGTACATGTTTCATAGAAGAGCATTGTTTGGTAATTCAGCTCATGGCTTTATCTTGTTTATATCCATTCATGCTTGATTCCTTTGGAACACGAAGGAATCTAACTTTATTGCGATACTTGATTCAGTGAAGAGGAAAAATGTGTGGACATGGTGGAATTGCAGAATGCTCGTGTACGGTGGAATGAGAGTTCAGAGTGCTATTATGTATGCAACAAATCGACAGTGTCTTCTTTGTGTGTGATGGTGGTGGTCTCTCATGTAAGGTATATTTCTAACTAAATAACTTTTTTTTTTCTTTTTTTTGAATGATAGATTTTGACTCTAGCAGACACATTATTGATGCAATAATGCCTATTCAGCTTTTCCTTATTCATGTTTGATTCGTGAAATTTGTAAAATCCCAAAAATAAGCCATGGTTTGATCCTTCTTTTTGCCGTTTGCTGGAAGAAAATTTAGTCTCTATATATTGACAAGGTTTATATATAAACAATATTGATATTTATCTTAGTACAAATTTGTAATTTCAAATAAAATAAAAGATATGGTTTGTAAGAGGAAAAATATGGGTGCAATTAGGACGGAAAAGAACACCTTTTTTTCTTTTTATTTTTTTATTTTTGGGTGGCATTTGCAAGGCTTTCATTTTGTTTCATAGCTTTTGAAAATCTATTCTTATATATGGAAAGATGGTTCAGTTTTCTATAGTAGGTCTCACAATGATGTATTCAATCTCTCTTAACATCTTCATCTAAAGAAGATCAACACTAGATTTTTGCATATTTTCAGTTCAATTCTTGTTTTCCCTAGTCTCTTTCCCTTTCTATGACAGAAGATCACGAGAATTGAATACAATTGTTCCATGTAAATTTTCTAATCGATTGGTTTAGAATTGATGCACTATTCTAAAATTTTCTAAAAGAGGAGAGACTTCTAAGAGATTTTTATCTAAGGACTAGTAAAATCTAGATAAACATTTTTTTTTTTTTGAAGACAAATGACGTGTGAAAAATGTGTACAAATATACAAGATATGTCAAAAGGAAAATTCTAAAAAATTGTAATTCTAGAATAATTTAGAGAAATTAGGAGGGAGGAGTGGGCTATAAAGACTACCAATGTTGGCCATGCAAACAAGTCTATGAATCTCCACTAACCATTCCAGCTATAATCTAACAAAATTAATATGTTGATTTTCAGATTGGGGAGATGTCAGTCAACCCCACAACGCGAACAGTATGATACGACAACCGATGGAAAGGACGGCAAAGGTGGTGTTGGGTGCGGCCATCGGAAGTCAAATGCAAGAACTGCAAACTCTACTTAGTTTATTAATAATTTTAACTAGTGTATTAATAATTACCTAACGGATTAGTAATGAATAAACACACGTAATTTAATTGAATTTGACTTTCATTTTTCTTTAACCTAATAGTATAAATTTGGCTGACATTTTGATTCTTTGAAGCTAACAGAATATAAAAAAATAAAAAAATAAAAAAAAGTTCATGCACATGGGGCAAGTGAACTTTGAACGTTTGGGTGACAATAAAATCACAGATTTCAAAGTTTGAAAATTTTCAGATTTTTTATTATTATTTCTTTTTAAAACAACTCTTTCAACTTGGTAAATTTTGGAATATCAATTAGTTGCAAATTACACATTTTGCGGCATAAAATTGAAGTTTTGGAATTAAAATTGGTGAAATTTAAGAAAATTTTAGTTTAATTTTGTGAGTTATTTTTTTCTAATTCCACCGATTTTAATTCTAAAACTCCAATTTCATATATTGCGAGTCAAAACCAAAACGATTAAAAGATATTCGAATTTAAAATTCATTCAAAGATATCAATTATCCATTAGACCGTCATTACGAATTATTTTTCGAGTATCTTTATCACCATTTCACATAAAGATATTGCAAGTTTTTATTTTTGGGTAAGATAGTAAAATATTACAAGGTTCAAAGAAGACGGCTAGCAGGAATTGTGACAATATAATATACATAGACTTGCAGCATCCAATTTTGAATTTTCCTACTAACATTTTGGATACAGACCCCACAGTTCCATTAAAATAGTGTTACATCCAACTATATATTTCTCTCTCTATATAATATGTTCTTTCTCTCTATATAATATGTTTTTTGATGTATTATTGATGCAATATATATATATATAGCTGCACTAGCCAAACAAGGTGACTCAGGTCGTTTGGCCATTCATGCTCTTACTTCCACAACTTCTTGATGAGGTTGGTCTGCTAATCTTCCAATGGAAAGTGGTGATGCACTTCATGTGGTGATGTTTCCATGGCTAGGCATGGGCCATTTCATACCCTTCCTCAACCTCTCCAAGTGCTTAGCGCAAAAGGGTCACCATGTCTCCTTCATCTCCACCCCAAGAAACCTCCAGAGACTCCCCAAAATACCCCCAAACCTAGCCCATCTCATAACCCTAATCAGCCTTCCATTGCCCAAAGCCAACCACTTGCCAGACCATGCAGAGTCTTCCATGGACATACCACACCACAAGCAACAGTTCCTCAAGATGGCCTTTGATTTGCTACAACCACCATTAACCACCTTCCTCGCGACCACCACCCCAGCCCCAGATTGGATTGTCTACGACTACGCCTCTCCTTGGGTGCCCAAACTCGCCGCCAGGCTCGGCATTTCACGAGCCTACTTTAGTCTGTTCACAGCCGCCGCAATGGCTTATATCGGACCGCCTTGGGCGTTGTTGAGTGATGAGTATGCTCGAACAACACCCGAGGACTTCACGGTCGTGCCCAAATGGATCCCGTTTGAATCCGATATGGCTTATCGTCCCCATGAGGTGTTAAAGATTTTTGAGAGCTCCGACGAGGACGAGCTTGTTGGGTCTCAGATCGAGGCTGCTACGTCTGATATTGAACGTTTTTGTCTTTCAATAGGTGAAAGTGATGTGGTTTTTATCAGAACTTGTGTTGAATTTGAACCGGAATGGTTCAATCTTATTTGTGAACTTTACCAAAAACCTGTTGTCCCAGTTGGTGTTTTGCCACCATTTTGGGACAATAATGAGACAGGTAGTGATGATAATAAATTGGTTGGTGTTAAAGAGTGGTTAGACAAACAGATTGTGAACTCGGTTGTTTATGTGGCATTTGGAACTGAGTCAACACTGAGTCAAGTAGAACTCACTGAGTTGGCTCTCGGGTTAGAGCAATCGAGGATACCTTTTGTTTTGGTACTAAGAAACCCAACCGGGACAACCCTCAATACGATCGAAATGCTACCAGATGGGTTTGTGGAGCGGGTCAAGAGTCGTGGGGTGGTCTATGTAGGATGGGCACCTCAAGCTAAGATACTGGGTCACTCGGCGATTGGTGGTTTCTTAACTCACTGTGGTTGGAACTCGATCATCGAAGGGCTTGGACTCGGACGGGTTTTGATTCTCCTTCCTCTGTGTAATGAGCAAGGGTTGAATGCCAGGTTGTTGAATAATAAGACACTCGGGGTGGAAGTACCAAGGAACGAGCAGGATGGGTCGTTTACTCGTGACTCGGTGGCTGACTCAGTAAGATTGGCAATGGTAAAAGAAGAGAGCGAGGCATTGAGAGAGAAAGCAAGGGAAATGAAGGCTTTGTTTGGGGATAAAAGTGTAAATGACCATTATGTTGATGGTTTTGTACGTTATCTGGTAGAGAATAGGACATCTCGATTAAGGGCCTAAATATCCCTTTCCTTTTATGGAGGCCAATTGAATTGAATAAAGAAATTGTTCGGTTGAAATTTTTTATTACATTTTTGTAATAAAAAATGAGTCTTGAATAAGTAGTTCATGGGCGATCAAGAATTCAAATTTATAAAAACATGATTAAAAAAAATGATTGAAGAATTGATTTTATCAGTCCGGCCACGGATCAGATTAGTTATTAATCCTAATCCGATCCACTATTAACTGATTAGACAAATCTTAATTCGCCACCGATCCGTTATCTTACGGATTGAATTTGTATAATAACGGATTGGATCGAATTGAATCTGCGGATTGAGTTTTATTTAAATTATCTATTATTATTTTATATAATTAATATTATTTATTATTTATTTATATTTTAACCATAACTTAATATATAAAATCTTAATTTATTAATATTAATTCATATATTTAATAATTATTAACTAATACATCCATAGACTCCGTTAAATTATCATTAATTAATTAAATTAACTAATATATTCTTTGAATATATATATATTTCACGGATGAGATCAGACTCATGGATCGAATCGAATTTTTAACAGTTCAATACATGATTCAATCCGTGAATTACGAATTCGATTTTTTTAAATTTGTCACCGATTGATGGGTGTAACAATTCGATCCGATCCAATCGCGAATTATTTACCCATTCCTATATTTATGAGATAATTAATAAAATATTACTCCTAATAAATAATCCCAGAGTGCGTGTCATTTTCTAATTACTCTATTTATTAGGTAATCATTATGCTGTATTTATGCCCTTCCTTGCACGTTATGCTTGGTCAATCTGTTGCACTGGCCACTAAAAACAATTCCAAGGCCATTATCATTATCATCATGAGAAAACCTATGCTCAAGCCCAAGGATCAAAGACTCCAGTCAAGAACATGACTAAAGATTTGATTTTATCAATAAGATCTTTTGAGTGTTTTTTAATTAATATGGGGATGAGAGCGATTGGAGTTTATTAGAAGTAGAGAGGCTTTAACTGTGTTCAATTAGGAGATGAAGCTTTAATCAAATTTTCTGAAAAAAAATGGGCATAGTTTTGTACAATTGTCAATATTCCCGAAAATGAAAAACCATTCTCAGAAAATTAAAGAAACCCCCTTCCTGAGATGAGTTTGAATAGTGACAGTTCCTGTTAACATCACTAGTGCTAATCTACTTAAGAATCAGCTTGTGGTGATAATACATTCTCCAAGTGATAAAGTTCTCAGAAAATTATATTTTCTTCCTTTTTCTCTGATTTAATTTTCTTTTCTTAAGTATTATCGGACTAAGCAGCAACACAAACAACAAAAATAATAATGGAAGTGTCACCGACATACACCTTGAAGGTATCAATTGCTACTTGGAAGTGTCACCCGCAAACGGGGCTGGTATCGATTGTGAATTTGTTAATAATTAAATAAGACTAGTACGAATTTAAGCAAACTCGTACCATACTTACTCCGTTGTCATCCCTATTTAGATAAGAGGGGGCAAAGGGCCAAACAAATCAGGTTTTGAGAGTATATTTATTAATTTTTTCTTGAAATATAGTAAGTGTTTCTTTCCTTGATTTTCTTTTCTTTTCTCTCCCCTTTTTTCCAAACAAATCACAAGAAGTTAGGATTTTGAGAGTATATTTATTAATTTTTTCTTCCTTTTTAGTGTATATTAATTTTTGATTCATTTCCAACTCTGTACTTCGGAGAGAATATTTTACTATGCACGTAGGAATTTCATGATACTGACTTTTGAAAACCAAGTTTTCATTATCAAGAAGTTGAATTCCCAAGCAGTGTGGCAGCCCAAAGTGGATTTGTGTGTGTATTCCATATACTACTAATTGTATTCTATAAAAACCTCTCCATACTTGGAGCCCTTCATCATCCATCCAACCAATTGCCCTCTTATAGTATCAAACCCACAATGAAATTTCACAACAAATTTCTTTTTAATTTCAAACTTCTATTATTTCCCATCATCATCATCCTTGCAGTGTTGCTTTCTTTTTCTGATTTCACTGCTTGTGATTCTTCTTCTTATTCTGCAGCTCCAATTAGAGAAAAGGAAAGAGAGGCTCTTTTAAAGTGGAAAGCCAGTCTTCACAATCAAACCCAATCTCTAATTCTATCCTCTTGGGCTCCAAACACCAGCAGCAGCCCTTGCAATTGGGTTGGGATTCATTGCAAGAAGGGTGAAGTTGGGTTCGCCACATTGCCGATTGTGATGCCGAGAGTTGTGTTTGGCGGTACGATGCCTGTTGATGTTGTTTGAGGCCCCTGAGATATATGTATCAATGGTGCCAAAACACGTTGAAATATGGATTCATTGGCGTGGGATGTTTCAGCTCGATCTAGCTTTGATTAGCAGCGGTTTCAAGTTTCTGACTCAACTTATCTATTTGAGCAGTCAGTGACTTCATCTCATGTATTTGAGAAATCAAAATTTGATTTGACTCCCCCATTTGGGACTTTACCTCATCAATCTGAACTTGTAGGCCATCCATTTTCTGCATGATTGATTCCAATACCCGAGCCAAAGGAACGTCGGATGGAATAAATGAATTGACTTCATTAGATTCGCCTATGCCGATTTGCTGGTTCTCTTATTAAGTGTTGTCACCTGTACCCACACCTTTTGAATTTCTTAGCCTAGGAGGCATAGTTACTATAATTTACTCACCTAGTGGGGTCCCACCGGGATGTTGACGCTAAAATCGACTGGTTAGATTCGATTCGAAATTATTGTAAAACGGACATGTCAGAACCAATTATATGGTTCGAGTGTAAATATAATTGGTTCGAGTGTAAATAGTCAATTGTAGTCTCTTTGGGAACGTTAACTTTCAGTAAAGAAGAGAGAGATTAAGAGAAAGAGGGATAGAACGAGATACTGATAGAGAGAGAGAAATAAAAATAGCAAGAATGTTATTTTGGGAAAGGTTTGAGAAAGCAATAACAATATTAAAATGATTCTGAGGGTGCTGAACATTGATCTTAACATTCCTCTTTATTTATTTATATAATAATGTAACTAGAAATCCTACACAAGTATTCTAATTGTATTATAACTCTATAATATAATTGAATAATTATTCAAATTGAACTATCCTAGATAAATACTGGTACTTTAATTTAAATGGACTAAAAGATAACTACCAAAAAACAATCCCTATCTATCATCTAATTCAAAATGTGTCTTTGCATGCAAATTGAATTCCACATAAAACATACAACTCCATAGCCGAATCAAAATATATCCACATCATCGGGCCACAGTCCAAAAATACATTTATTTTCTCGGCCCATATGACCCATATACCAAGTTGAATCTTGGAAAAATTATATTTTGGTGACCAAAATTAAACATAATTGTTTGATAGTGACCTTAAAGTCAAGAAAAGGTGAATAGTGACCAATGTTAAAACTTAATTGATATTAAGTGACTATTTGAGGATAATTTGGTCAAAAATACTTAAAGATTTGATAAACATTTTAAAAATAAATTTTAGATGACGAAATTACCATCCAATACAAATAATAAGTCATTGAATTCATCCTCCTACTCTCACCTCTCTCTGTCTCTCTAATCCAATGTTTTCTCTATTCTAACATTTTCTTTTTTCCCTTTTTAGTTTACAATTTACCAATTTAAAAAATTAAGATTTCTTTATCAACATTATCTCTTTTCTACCATTTATCTATTTTTCAAGGCTCTTCACCATGAACGCTCATAAAATTTACAGTGGCAAATCATATTTTTGAAACACCCATTAACAGTTGGCAAAATTATGAAATTAATCAATAATGGTCATTATTTCTTAAACTATAACTAAATAGTATTAAAAAATTCCTAAAAATTACAATCTTATATCTTAAGGAAGATCTCTCAGACAAATCAACTTGTAAAGTATAACAACTATATCTTGAAAATAATGAATAGGGAGAAAATTTACAATTTTCTCATCCTGCCTCTTAGAACCTTGAAGAAAAAGATGTAAAACATCCGTCCTCAGTTCTCTCCTATCTTGATCTTCTCTAAGTGTTTATTTAGGTTAATGTAGAGGATAAATTTGTCTACTTACATAATAATGTATTATAAGAAGGTTATTTAGATAATAAACCATCATATGGTTACTTAATATCAATTAAGTTTCAACATTGGTCACCATTCACCTTTTCTTGACTTTAAAGTCACTATAGAATAATTATGTTTAATTTTGATTACCAAAATCTAATTTTCCCAAAAAATTATTTAAAGGAATAGCAGGGAAAAAAAATAAGAAAAAGAAAAAATATATATGACAACTTAAAAAGGAAAAAATTAAAATTTAATTTAACAAGAAAAATTTAACTATTTTTAAGGAATTTGAAGAGTAAATTAGAAGAAAAATAAATAAATAAATAAATAAGAGAGAATTTTAACAACTAATAATTTTAGCGAGGGTATTATATAAAAAATTTGATATACATACATATAAATATATAAAGAAATCTATATGTATAGTGGACGGACCAGAGCGGGGGCAAGTGCACCCTAGACATATACTGACTTCACCGTGGTTGTCCTAGACTTGAACCTTTATAAGCTCTCATGTATGGTCCTTCATGAGTGTACTAGTTTAGTAAAATATGGCTAGGTGCCGGACGTAACAATATGCTAGGTACAAATAAAAGGTGGGGAATACAAGCATTGTTAATAGACAAAGAGTCGATAATATCCAAAAAGAGGATTGAACGGACACTCAGAAATGTAAGTAAAATCATAGCAGAAAGACAATACAAGCTGCATTGGGCCAAAATTGGGCCCAGTTGTATGAAGTTCTGACATGTTATTTGATTCTCACTATTGAAGTTTCGTTAAATTAAATTTCTTTCCTTACCCAAAAAAGTAAAAATAAAATAAAATAAAATAATGATCTACTTGAAGTTTCATTAAATTAATTTTTTTTCCCCACCCAAAAAATAAACTAAAAAATCAAAATTACTCCTTTTTTTTTTTGGATTAACACAATTGCTCAAGTATATTACACCGTTTAGAAATT